ATGATGATGAATAGTCCTTGACTTAGTTTTTGTTGGTGTTAAAAAGGGGGGAGTAGACATTTTATATAGTTCTTGAAAAATTTTCTTTTAGTTTCTGAATAGTTATTGCTTCGTTTGGTAGTAACCATATATTTACTATGCATAATTCATATTTTTATGCTCTGAATATAATTGCTCTAACAAACAAGTTTTCATTTATGCATATTCTCAAGGAAGCACTTTTGTTTCACTAAGTATCTTATATTTTTGCTCTAATAGTTATGAGTGCTCTAATATATTTAATAGAATATTCTCTGATATAATTTTGACATAACGTTTTTTACTCTATGATTTGCGCTGAAAAACATTTTCTCTAATACTGCATTATATATTTTCTTTTGTTATAACTAAAATTCTACAATCTCTAATATGTTGCTCTGATTTGCATTTTCAAAATTCTTAATGAAAAATCTTTTATGACAAACTCTTATAAAAATCACAACTTTTGTTGTTATATCATCTGACTATTTTTCAAAATTATTTTCATAAAAATAATTTCTTCAAAGTTGTTAAGGACTTTAAAAAAAACTACTTTGTCCTATCACAAATATCTATATTATTATAGATGAAAAAGTTTAGTCTCACATACTTCTTTATCAAAAACTTTATTTCAAAAACAAATATTTGTCACCATCAAAAAGGGGGAAATGTTATGTCAAAAGACAATCTTAGATCCCTTTGGTTTAAAGTTTTGATGTTAACAAACAAATAAGTTCATGATTAATGGTATAAAATTTTTTAAAATGACTAAGACGAACCTTCTAAGTGTCGCAACCCGAAAATTTTCAATCTTGCGACCTATGGTTTAGACATTCTTTTGAAAATCTCATTAATTAAGGAATGTCCAGACACCAGACTAATCCTTAATTAATAGTTTTGAAAAATAGGTTCTTGGACTCGCTACCAATGTTTTACTCAAAACATTGAAAAAAAAAGGTTTTTAAAAGTCTAATAATGGCCTTCAATAATGGCCTTAATAACCAGAATTGGGTTCAAGGGTCGGTTACATGTAGGGAAGGTATTAAGCACCCCTACAACGCCCTTAATCGGTACCTTATAATGAAGTTAGCATTATAAAAAATAATAATATAAATATTGAATCCCCTTTTATTATGACTATTTACATGCTTGAAATTTAAATTACACAATTGACTCTAAAATGTCTACATGATTGCTTTTATTATAATAATGTTTATAAAAGATAAGAAATAAAAAATAGAGAAGAAGATTGACTGAAATACCTCTAGAACGAGCTCTATTGAATCTTCAAATATGGGGACTTTTAGGTGCTTTTTGGCTACCTTTCACACTACAATATGCCTCACAAAACTCAAGAAATACAATTGGAGGGACAGAGAGAGAAATTTCGAGCTCTAACGAGTCTTGGACGAAATTTTTTGTGGCCTTGAGAACTATGCCCGAGTTGTCTATTTATAGACATCAAAAAGTTGCCAGAATGGCCTGTTCCAAAATCGGAACGGGCCGTTCCAAGTCACAAAAAAGGCCTAAAAGCCTAATCCGGAACAGGCTATTCCAAAATCAGAACGGGTCGTTCCAAGCCATAAAAAAGGCCTAAAAACCTTAGGCTGGAACGGGCCGTTCCAAATCCTGAACGGGCCATTCTAGCAGTCCAGAACGGGCCGTTCTGATTTCAGAATGGGCCGTTCTAGTGTAAGAATTTTGCATATAACGTTCGGATCCAGAACGAGTTGTTTCAATTTTGGAACGGGCCGTTCTGGACCCTTTCTGAAGTCTATAAATAGACTGCTTGGGCTCATTTCTCAGGACCCCAAAAATTTCGTCCAAGACTCCTTAGAGCACGAAATTTCTCTCTCTTTCTCTCTTATTGTATTTCTTGAGATTTGTGAGACATATTGTAGTGTGAAAGGTTGCCATAAAGCACTTTCTCCATTTTTGAAGATTCAATAGAGCTCGTTCAAGAGGTATTTTAATCAATCTTTTTCTATATCTTTTATTTCTTATCTTTATCTCAATTTTTTATTTACAACAAATGCAATCATGTAAATATTTTAGGGTTACTAGTATAATTTAAATTTTCAATATGTAAATAAATATTAATAAAGGGGATTTAATATTTAATTTATTAATTCTTATCATGTTAACTTCATCATAGGGTACCAATTGAGGGCGTTGTAGGGGTGCTTAATACCTTCCTTATGTAGAGGTGCTTAATACCTTCCTTACACGTCACCGACTCCCGAACCCAATTCTGGTTATTAAGGCCATTATTGAATTTTTAAAAAACCTTTTCTTTTTCCAATGTTTTGAGTAAAATATTGGTGGCGACTCCATGAACCTATTTTCAAAACCATTAATTAAGGATTAGTCTAGTGTCTGGGCATTCCTTAATTGATGAGATTTTTAAAAGGATGTCTAAACCATACGTCGCAAGATCGGAAAAATTCGGGTTGCGACAAGGCCCTTTTAGGAACTTGAAACGACCCGTTCCGATTTTGCAATAGCCCGTTCCTAGCTACTAAAACCAGCTTGTTGGGCTTTTAGGCCTTTTGATGTCATGTCCTGTTATTTCCATGCTTGGGAGCTCCATTTCTTTGATGATAGACGTCCATTTCATTGCTTTTGTTGGTCCGGGCAAAATTAGGTGTCTACACTAAGATGCAATCCATTTGTAAGACAAATCCTAGTATAAGATGAAAGTTGTATTAAGATGGTTCTATTATTGAATAACATGATAAAAAAGATATGCATTAAATCTTTATCATTTACGATCTCTAAACAAGAAATTGACTACGTCTGAATATTTCCTTAATAGATGGAATTTAAAAGTACTTCTTTATTACCATCGTTCAAAAAAAAAAAGCAAAGAAAGACATATCTTGTGTCAAAAAAGAACAAGTAGATATCTACAAACACAAAAAAGTTGTAGTCAAAAGTTTTTCATCACTAAAACATCTTAACACATGCATGACTCTACCCATTTGGTACCCAAAAGGTGATAAGTATCTTCTTTGATCAAATAAGAAGTGATAATTTGGTTAAAACATATAATGCAAACATTTATTACACTAATGAACACTTTTATCCTCAAGAAGCGAATTATGAAGATAGACGAAGCAAGTCATGAGAGAGAAACTCAAGAATTTGCGATGGTCATTTTAATTGAACCCTTATGAAAGGAAATTTGAAGTTCAAAAAGAAGTGACAACAATAGTCTAAAAAAGAAAAAAAATACATTATTTCTTCATTCTTTTTGTAATCAACTTTGTACTTAACCTGTTGTATCACGTCTTGAAAGAAAGATGAAACAACTCTACAAACCTTTTATAACTTTGAGTTATTGAGTTTGAGCCTGGAAATACTTGTTTGTAAAAGAATACTCGTTGCTTAAGCCTAAAGAGTCATGTTTGTAAAAGAACATTTGGTATTGAAGCCTGAAAGGACCGTGTAAAAAAGAATACTTGGGTAGTTACTTGAAAAAACAAGTCAAATAATACTTAGGGTTGAGCTAGAAATGACTTGATAAAGAATACTTGTATATTTGATAAAATAGTGAAACTTGATTTGGTTAGATCAAGAATTGGATACAGTCTCAGTGGCTGAGACGAACTAGTATAAATCTCTAAGTTCATTTTTTGTTTCGTTTGTCCTCTCCTATTTGCTACACTACTACTTAAATGCTTTGCAAAAGGTGCGAGCTTTGAGAAATATTATTCAACCCCTTCTTTTAGTGTCTCTCTTTTCTCCACAGTACCATTGAGAGTTAAGGCTAGTGTCACAACTTGATGTTAATGCATGTACTAAGTATTTTGGTAAGTATTTTTCAATGCTTTCAATCTCTTTAAGCTAACAAAGGATAACTAAGGATAACTTTTTTTAATTTTAAGAGAAACAACTAAAGTAACATGTATTTCTTTTGCTAACACATCAAATATTTTAAAAAATAATTGTTTCTTACTTTTGCTAAGTTCTTCAAGGATATTAAGTTTGGGGAGAGATAAGGTTAAATAACATTATATTTGAGGAAGAGTTTGTTCCAATTTCTTGAAAAATTAATACAGTTGCTATTTATATAGCAAATTTGGATCATTAAGAAAATATGGTTTTTCTTCATATCATTAAGAAAATTATTTTTGAAGGTCAAACTCAATACCCTTAAGAATTAGAACATTAGTATCCAATTTTTGTGTGTTGATATGCTAAATAATAGATGATAATATGTTTTATATTTGTATATTATTTCATAAGGAATATAAGGTAAATAGTATAACGAAAAATGATTTTATCAACTCCTAAAACATAAGGAGTTTTGATTAAGAAATAATGGATTGAAACAATGAGTGATAAGACAAGTTTGTATTAGACAACAAGGTTTGGAACTTGTCCCATTACCCAAATTTATCCAAGGGTAATATGGAGAAATATAAGGCTTGTCTTGTAGTTAAGGGCTATGCTTAAAAGAATTTTTGAAAGCATGAGTTTCCATATGCTTCAACTATGGAGAAAATAATTCGTGACCTTATTTGTAAGCATCCATAAATGTCATACAAAATATAATCATTTCATAGTTACTCAACCAATTTGAGTATGAAGTATTAAAACAAAATCATAAGAATTATTAAAGAGAACAAAAGTAAATATACTCACAAGATATGATAAACTTTTACAAAGATTTACAGAGAAATAATAAATTATATGAAATGAATCCCTCTTCTGAAGCTCCTATTCAGGTAAACTTTGAAGATGATCATTATATATTCTTAAATAACACTTTTTGATTTTTTTTTGTCTTATTTCATTGTAGAGTTAAGTATTTGTTGGTAGAATAAATATATGCATTAAATGCTTTTAGGAATTACACGCTTCAATATACAAAGGGAAAGGAAAAATAATGAAATAGAATATATTAAAAGTTTATGAAACAAAATAATGTGATTTATGAAGTAAAAATAATGAAATAATGTGATGTGCTTTCACACTCGCAAAGCATAGCTTGCAGTTGCACCAGATTTTACCCTCAAACAAAATCAAAACACTAAGCAGAAGGAGCACTACACTGAGCGAACTGAAACAGATGGTGTCAATTATTCGCCACCGCCACTGCCACCGCATAGCTACCCTCACTCACCACTTACGCCACTTCTCAGCCACCCCGAAACCCCCGCTCCTCTACACCGCCAACACGACCGGCGACACCGCCACCCTGCAGGTCCTCTCGTGGGGCAGAGGCGCCTCCGGCCAACTCGGCGGCGGCGTGGAGGAGACCCGCCTCTACCCCTCTCCGGTGGCCAACCTGGCCGTCCCCAAATCCTCCTTCGCCCTCGCCCAAACCCCTGGCCGCCTCCCGAGCCCACCGAAGCAGGAGCGGGCCCTCGAAGTGGGCCTCTCGTGTGGGCTTTTCCACTCTTCCCTCGTCGCCGATGGGGCCCTCTGGATTTGGGGCAAAGGCGATGGTGGACGATTGGGCTTTGGCCACGAGAACCCCTTGTTCGTTCCCACCTTGAACCCTCACCTCGATAACCTTCGCTCCGTTGCCCTCGGTGGCTTGCATTCCGTTGCACTCACGTCAAACGGCGAGGTCTTTACGTGGTCAGAATCACTTCAACTCTCTGAACCTCTATTTAATTCTTGTTTTGTTTTCCAAAATCACGCACATTGTGTGATAGTGTGAATTATAGAGTTGGTTACACGGAAAATGTGAAGCTAAAATTGATCAAGGTGATTGATGGGTGGTGTTGGTGATGTCTGCAATCTGCATGAAGTTATGTTTGCTTTTTTGTTTTATTTTTTAAGCGTGTCAGGTATGTGATAACAGAAAGGACCAAATTTAAACTGCATAGTTTAAATGGGTAGTTAAAATTAAAATTAATGAAAACAAACTTGATCATTGATGTACACTGTCACTACTCACTAGATATGTTTCCTATTGTTAGTCATTGCTCGACTGAAAAATACCACAGAAGAGGTTGGACTTGATGCATAAACTTTGTTTATTATATAGGGATAGAAATTTTGAATCCTTCATGAAATTATGCTTGGTTCAAACCTCAAGATATTAACAAATTTTCCCTACTTTGCAAGCATTATTTCTCTAACAAGTGCAGTGGAACTTGACAAGAGTTTTAATTTGTTTTCGTTTGGGGGGTGGTGGTGGTTGTGCTGACATTGCATGCTTAAAGATAAAAGAATACTTATAGTTAACAGAAAAATCTAGAAACTCATCAATGCCAAGCTCAGGAGATCATATTTTTATTCTTCTTGTTTTAAACAATATTTGAAGTTTCATATGCAACTGGCAGATTAAGATATGAAAAGCTTGTCTTTTGACACCATTAATGCATCAATTGTACCCAGGATGTTATGAAATTAATATTGGCTTTGGTGACCACTAGGTTTGAAAATGGTTTCGGCTTATGAAATAAACATAGATTGAGGCTTTTTCTTTTTATCTGTCAGCAGACTTCAACAATTGTGCTCTAGCATTGTTAACATCTACATGAAATAATAGATTTAGTTTGGAGCAATTGGAGGGGGGTATAACCCAGCATTTTGTGGGGGTGGAGTTGAGCTGCTCCCTTCAGTCCTATTGAATTCCTCTCATAGCCTTTTGTTAGCTGTTGCATGTAAAACTTTTAATGGAACCTTGAGAATCATTTCTCCTTTTTGGTTCTCAGAAACTTATATTTAAAAAATTAACTGATTTTGTTGAGGTTGGAAATATTTTCGTAATTTTAGGGAGAACTTCCTAAATTTTATGATGAGCAACATGTAAAGTTTTATGTCAGATATTTATTCATGCATTCTTTCTCTTAATAACATTAAATTTTTATGGATGAAAATGAAGTTTGCAGGGGTTACGGGGGTTTTGGTGCACTTGGACACTCAGTATATCATAGAGAGCTATTTCCTAGGTTGGTAAAAGGATCCTGGGAGGGAACTATAAAGCACATTGCTACCAGTGGAACACATACTGCCGCGATCACAGAATCAGGTTTGTTTGATGGCTGGAACTTTATATTTCAGCATTGTTTAAAACAATTTCCCCATGTTTTCTGACTGTAAATTTTTTTCTCTCTCTTTGGAATAAGAAAAGTATCTATCAAGAGAAATAATAGAAGTATAAGAAATCTTCCTAAAATTACAGGTTCCCAAGACAGTTATTTTCTTCCAAAGTTATTGAAGATGCACTTTTATTATACATGTCAAATCAGATTGTTTGATGTATTGAAAGTTTTGCTCAGGCCTTATAAAATTTAATGCTTGATTGCAGATATAGATTTCTATTTTTATGTTTAGCTTTTGCTTTACTTTTTCTCATTTAAATCATCTTTTTAACATCTCAAGTCAAGGCTATACATCCATTTCTCCTAGTGTTCAACTTTCTGAAACAAATTTGAGTTTCTTCTTAGGAATGTCCAGTAACAAGAACTAGATATCAAATGAAATGGTATACACCCTTTGAAACTGATGGCAGGTTTGTTTTGATGTAGGGGAGCTTTATATATGGGGTCGAGATGAAGGGGATGGTCGATTGGGCCTTGGTCCTGGTCGGGGCCCTGATCATGCAGGTGGACTTAGTATCCCTTCCAAAGTAAAAGAATTACCTTACCCTATTGCTGCTGTTTCCTGTGGGGGGTTTTTCACAATGGCATTGACAGAGGATGGTCAATTATGGAACTGGGGAGGTAATTGTCACCTTCTTTATATGTTTTCCCCCACTATATTTTCTGTAGAAGACTAGCCAAAATTCTTTTATCCAGTGCTGTTAGTTTTGGAAAATTGATAATCTGGCATTTTATCAGCCAATTCTAACTATGAACTTGGGAGAGGTGATAAGATTGGTGGTTGGAAACCAAGACCAGTACCCAGCCTTGAGAATGTTAAAATAATTCAAATAGCAAGTGGTGGATATCACTCCCTTGCATTATCTGGTATGTTGACATGACATCAATTTAGTGTTGTTTCATTTCCATTCTCATTGATTATATCATTATAACTACTTTGTTATTGATTTACATTAGATGATGGCAAAGTGCTCTCATGGGGCCATGGTAGACAAGGTCAGTTGGGCCATGGATCTGTCGAGAATCAGAAGATACCAGCAGTAGTTGAGGCTTTAGCTCATGAGCATATTGTATATATTTCTTGTGGGGGTTCCTCGTCAGCTGCTGTGACGGGTAATGTATTTCATCTCATCTGGCATATTCTACTAGCTACAGAACTTTTCACTTTGATATATAAATAACTTTTATCCTTCACCATGTGTCCTCTAGAGTCTAGAGTTTAGTGCCCCCTCTTTTCAACATATATTTATGATGCTCCACAAGTTGCATGACATTGTGGCTACAAGTTGTGCCTGAGAATCAGTTATTTCAAAATTCACTGTTGTTGTTGGATAATGTTCCATTTATTACTTAAAAAACATATGCTAGTTATGACATCTGTTCTACCCCAACATATAAAGCAATTAAAATAAGGATGAAATTCATTTATAACTTGAGTATAACAGGTCCACATGTAATTCAACTTTGAACATCCAATCAAATGAAAAATAATTATGGGATATAAAGTCATCAACAATGTTTAAATAAGAAAGTAGTAAAACAATTTGAAATATAAATTACTATTCTAATCCCGTTGCTTCGATTTTACATTATCATATCAAACCCCTTCGGCTCTTGACACCTTGAGTGCCGACCTCATCACTTACACCATCACCTAAAATAAAACCACAATGTATACGGGTGAGAAAAATAGTCAATCATGCGTACGATTCAAGAAAAGAATTCTACCCAACATAAAATTAACCCATATACAATTCACAATAATAACCAATCATGATAATGTTACTAATTGATAATTCCATCAAACAATATCACCACACTATATCACAATACAGCCATGCATCATGTCCGTACTCACGTTAATGCATATGCAATACAACCTCCTAAGAAGCATCAATTTAGAACACTACACAATGGGGGAACTTCATCAATCTCCTCAGGCATCGTCACGTATGGCCACACCGTTTACATCACTTATGATTGGTGTCACATTGTTAATCACCACTTATGGCCAGTGTATAAATAATGCATCCCACACTGTTTACATCACTTATGACTAGTGTCACACTATTAATCACCACTTATGGCCAGTGTGTAAAGATTCACCCCCTGTTAATCACCACTTATGGCTAGGGTAAATGTGTATGCAACATGCATCCATGCTCATGTCATGTCACCTCATCCATTCATCATCTCTATTCATGCCAATGCACAATTAATAATAAGCCACGTCCAACCACATTTATGCATCAACTCATCCAAATACACACCATTATACTTAATCATACAATAGTCACTACTGGGCATTTTTCCATTCACAACCATCATCAAAATATAACATATTCATAGTCTGCGTCGAGCTTCACCAGGCCATGCGCGACTCTAAGCCACAACAGAGAGTACACAACATTTTCACGCCTGACTTAATACATCGACGCCCGATGCTAGTGAACACAGAGAACAGTCGCTCTCTCGCCTGACGTCAGTGAGTCACGTCTGGTGTTAAGGAAAGTCAAGGACTCACCAAACTTTTCACGCCTGGCGTGATATGTCTTGCACCCGACGTAACCTCGTTTGGGATTCACATTCATCAATATGAATGCAAGCCCGACACCAAGGACTCAAGCTCGACGCCAAACACGTTTTTCAAAAACGTAGCACAAGTAGGACATTACCAAAATTTGTAAGCAATCATGTAATCATCTTTTTACTAATTCAATCCGTACAATAAACACATTCCAATGAATTCAATTATCTATTAGGTCATCAATTTTACCAAACGATACAATAAACACATTTTCAATTCAATATAAAACCTAGTTGGATTATTAATTACATCATTAAAACAGAAATAGAAAGCCTTAAGAATTTAGGGATTGCTCCCACTACCTATTCTCTCTTGTAATCCCACACATGAATAACTCATTTTCCTCCCCGTACCTTACTGTGCCGAAAAAGAATTTGATGCAACTCGAGACAATTTTGAGCACTTCTTCTCAGAGCTCCTTCCTTCTCTTCCTTCCCTTTTTTAGTCCTTTAGAACGCAAAATGAGGCAGATGGATTAACTTTGTCTGACCCTTCTCTTAAAAGCCCATAGAACTGGGTCAACCCGACCCGTTTCCCTTCTCCCATTTAATCAAATAAATAAATATAATAAAATGATTCCCCATGTGTAAAAATAAATAATAATTTTGAATATATTATAACAATATTTAATAATATTATTTAGAAAATAGGATGGTACACTAGTTTCTAGTCAATTTACATGTGTTGTCAGTGATAATGGTGCCAAATAGTTAGTAGCATCTACCATACTCCTCCATGTGGTGGATCAGAGCCTCTCAGCTGTCAAATGGAAGTGGGGTAGAATGTTTTCAATTACTGCATGAAACATAGTACTGCCCAATTTGTGGCATAAAATTTTCAAGTAATAAGCCAAAATCGTCTTTGATTTTGTAGTTGTGGAGCTTCTTCTCCTTTGTCTGTCATAAATCAATGAACCCTACGCAATATAACTGGCAAGAACCCGAACTCATGTTGCCAGTTTCCATGTATCACTAGTATCTTCCTCTGCATTGGCTTTGCAACTTACTTTGCTCTCTTTTTCTTTGGTTTTTCTATCCTCCTTGTTTCCATCCACACAACATGATGGAGACTTCTAGTTAGAGTTCCAAAGTCCAATTATTTTAGGATTCCATTAAACAAAAGAGAATGATCATGCACTTTCAATTAATTAAGATAAGAGTGGAAATGCTAAAATAATATGGCAATTATAGAAATAAATTCATTCAATTTACAAAGGGGTTCATGGAGAACAATTACATCATAACTCTAGCCAGACATGGTAGGTCATAAACAAGGGAGAAAGAATCAATTGTAAAAGGGAAGGATCTGCCTCCGAGGGTTGGGCTCTTAGCTTCTCATATAACTTCAATGGAAAATAGGGAGAAGGAAAGAAAATACTCAAAACTAGACAAAAAATGAGACAAAAGCACGTCATACCATAGTAGTCAATCCCGGATAGCGGAGCGGAGTGGTCGACCCTAAAAATGGGATAGCGAGATGACATGGAGCGGGATAACCACTATTTTAATATTAATTTATATATAATATTAAATAATTAATAATATACATAAAAGCTAAAAAAAAAACTCTAAATTCATGCATTAAACATTTTTAATAATTAAAAGTTCATAGTACTAAACAATACATAATATAAAATGTCTTCAAAACAAAGTACTAAAGCTCTAAGTAAGTAAAAAAATTAAACATTATAGTTTAATCTTCTTCCTCATCAAGATTAAAGTCTTCCTCTCCCTCAAATTCATCACCCCCACTAGCATTAGAATTATATTCTTCTTCTTCCTCTACTTCATCATCATCCTCATCTTCTAGTACTTCCATCACTTTTTTTCCTTTATCTTTCCTGGATATAGATGCAATTGTTGATGTCTTGTTCACTTGTGTTTGTCTCCTAGTATATTTCAAAGGTTTACTAGCACCACTTGCCTGGGCAACATCTCTCCAAGTCAAAACATCATCATCAAACATCAAGTCATCTTCAAAATCATCCTCATCATTCTCTTCTCCCAACATTCATTCATTGTTATCATCAACTTCATTTAAAGCAATTGGATCAATTGCATCTTGACACTCAAAGCGTTCTTGAAGAGCTTGATTATATTTAATAAAAACCAAGTCTTGAAGCTTTTGGTGCTCAAGCTTACTTCTCTTCTTTGAGTGAATCTATAATAATTTAAGAACATGACAGTTAATTAATTTTCCATTTTCAATAGTCAGACTTTAATCTTGCCTAAAAACACAATAACAAAATAATTAAAATTAGAAGTTATAACTTATAATCCTATGAGTATAAAATTAGAATATAATTGATTCTTACCCGCCATAACATAATTGCTTTCATTATCTGTTACTACTTGAATAACATTTTTTTCTCCAATTTCCTCAACAAAACTATTGAAAAGTTCAAACACCTTCTCAGAAGTATCCACACTCTTCACAAACATTGTTCCCATTGAACTCTTTACCAAAAAGTTAATCAAAGTTCTATTTTTCCTATTTGTCCAATCATCAGACATAATTGAGCACCCATATTTTACTCTCTCCTCTTCATGGCCCTTCAATAAGCCCTTGGTGTATTCCAACTCTTTTTTAAGGAGTGGCACATGAATTAAGAGTGTCACTCAAAGAAGAAAAGTAAGCTTGAGCACCAAAAGAAGAGAAGTAACTAACTGTCATGTTCTGAAATTATTATAGATTCACTCAAAGAAGAGAAGTAAGCTTGAGTACCAAAAAATTCAAGACTTGGTTTTTATTAAATATAATCAAGCTCTTCAAGAAATCTTTGAGTGTCAAGATGCAATTGATCCAATTGCTTTAAATGAAGTTGATGATAACAATGAATGGATGTTGGGAGAAGAGAATGATGAGGATGATTTTGAAGATGACTTGGTGTTTGATGATGATGTTTTGACTTGGAGAGATGTTGCCCAGACAAGTGGTGCTAGTGATCCTTTGAAATACACTAGGAGACAAACACAAGTGAACAAGACATCAACAATTGCATCTACATCCAGGAAAGATAAAGGAAAAAAAGTGATGGAAGTACTGGAAGACGAGGATGATGATGAAGTAGAGGAAGAAGAAGAATATAATTCTAATGCTAGTGGGGGTGATGAATTTGAGGGAGAGGAAGACTTTAATCTTGATGAGGAAGAAGATTAAACTATAATGTTTAATTTTTTACTTTTTTAGAGCTTTAGCACTTTGTTTTGAAAACATTTTATATTATGTATTATTTGAGTACTATGAACTTTTAACTATTAAAAATGTTTAATGCATGAATTTAGAGTTATTTTTTGTTTTTTTAGCTTTATATATATATTATTAATTATTTAATATATATAAATTAATATTAAAATAGCGGTTATCCCGCTCCGCGTCATCCCGCTATCCCATTTTTAGGGACGACTGCTTCGCTCCGCTATCCGGGATTGACTACTATGTGTGCCACAAATAAGCACGATTGTACATAGTACTTGAGCTGAATTCTACTCCTTTTTTTGGCCTCTAATTGCGTTAATTCTCTCTT